TTCCTTCTTAGGGTTAACCACTATTTAGCCCTTTAACTTATACATTTTAAGATTATTAGCCCCACTTAAGTATTAATTCCTCAATAATATAATTTAGAGAAATTTTCTTTTATTTAACAGATTTAATGTGAATATCATTAATTAAACATTATTTTTATCTTAGTTAATGATGCATCAACATTTCTATCCTATACTGCCCGCCATCATAGCAATTAACACATATAAAACTCTCCCTCAATGTAATTCAAACCCCACCCTATTATATTAAACAAAAACAAAAAGAAAAAAAAAAAGAAAAAATGTCAAAACGGAAATCTAAAGTCCTACCACTGTAATATGTCATGTGGGATAAAAAAAGTTGATATATTATGGACTAGGATAAAAATAACATCAACTAATTATATGTGCTGTACATTTATTAAATAAGGTAAAGTTCTCTTAAATTATATTATTAAGATGCTAAAACTCTTAAATTTTTATATGGGGGCCAATAACCTTCAAAGCTATAAATTAGGGGCTAAGTAGGGGTTAAGCCTTTTTCTTGATCACAAAAGAGGATTCCTTGAATTTTTTTTCTCAAATTCTTTTTTTTTTTATTATCTATTATGTTTTATTTTCCTATTTATTCGCGGAACTTTTGCCCCCTTTTTCTATTTAATTGTGCCATGCCTATTGGGGAAAACAAATAAAAGGAAATAACAAAAATAAAATTTTAAATTTTCCATCCTTGTAAATCCAATTCTCTCTATATAGGAAGTAGAAAAGGAGAGACATGGGGGTAAATCCGTAATTATGATTTAGAAAGGTTCAAATCGAACACACAACCTTCAATCTAGAGTCAGAAGCACTACCACAGCAACAGATCCCCTAATGTTTCCACCGTTGATATATTGTTAACTAAATCAAATCTATTAAAGTAGACAACCTCTCCCCTCATTCAAATTGCAACTGTCACAAAGTGACTGCAGGGAAAAGAAGATCAAGCTGAGAAATTCTCTGGACAAGTTTTAGATTCTTCCCCATGTTTATGGGATAGCCTTTTGTTGTTGTACTATTACATTAAATTAATACTGTTTAGTTTGGATTTTTGGGAAGTGGAGAAAGATACTCCATATGTTGAATACTTGAGCTTCCCTTTTGCTGATAATTATGGCATTTTTTCCACCAATTTTGTTTCTTTTTGCTTCCCATTACAGCTTTCATGCACTTCTGTTTGTTACTAATAATTATATGCATGTTTAGTTTCTGTTCCTGAAATTCATTCATCAATCTAAACACTTGCCTTGATGTTGTTTATCATAGTTTAGGAGGAAAAAAGGAGAGGAAATCAACATATGGCTTTTCAGACCGAAACAAGATTCTATAGATTATATGTTGTTCCTTGTAAAAATAAATAGAAAAGAAAATAGATAGAAGAATAGCAAAAAACAATTAATTAAAGATGAAGATGAAAAGTAGAAAGATGTCACTGAAAGTATGAGGAGCTTGAGCTGAGGCGTGGATCAATCACTCTCTTTAGGACATTTCGTGCCACTGGTATAGCAGATTTTTATGGTCACGCCGCTCCCAGGATACAACAGCCCAACCTCCTTGTTGTATCTTTACAAGTACTGCACTCTTGTAAAGAAAGCTCTACCCCACCACCTTTTCCTTGCCCAAAGAGAGTTTGAATGTTGTGTCTTTAGAATAGGAGTGCAGATTATGAAAAAAAATGTATCAAGCTTTGGTACAAACGGAGGTTGCCTTTTTATAGGCTTTCCCAAATAGTAACTGAAGTAGAAACCTGTTAAAAATTTTTAATTGAAATTCTCTGGTATCAAGCAAGATTTGTAACTAATCCAATCAAATATAATAATGTATAGATTTAAAACCATTTGACAAAACGAAAATGAATGGATTGTAACTGTTGCCGGTTAAAAGCAAAATTAAATAATGAATTTGTAACCATTGGAATAGAACTATCAGTTACAAATTTTTTTTTAATTAAAATTTACAACATTCCCCCTCCATTTTAATTAAAAATAAAAGAAACTTAGAAGATGAAAAATATATAGGCAAGGATGGATTACTATGCATAATAGAGGTAGCAATGCCTTGAACCTCTACTTAGTGAGTCAATGATTCCTATCCCAAAGTCACTAGTGAGCAAAGTCTTGAACTAGGACTACTTAGAGGATATATGAGACCATATTACACACATTATAATCCAAATGTTAATTTGAGCTTGGTAAGCTGGCACATTACGACCTTTGTGCCTAATCCTGTATTCATGGATGATCTAGAGAATAGCCCTATTCTCATAGGAGCGGCCCCACTCTAACATCCATATAGGTGAAATTTGTCAAGGATGCTCCCATAACTAAGACACCCCACTTTATGAGTTACAAATTTCATTAAGAGTATAAAACTCAACCCTCAATTCGTTATGGGATCAATGCATCCTCACCTTAGCAATGGGACCGAAAAGTTTTTCCGTTAAATATTGATACATCTTTCAACAATGACTTCTCTATGATTCGTTTTTCCCATTCAAAACCCAATTCTTAGAATTCAGGTTGGGTATCCTCATAAGAAGTTCTACATTATTGGGCTTAAATCCCATTCCCCTCGATGAGCACTAGACTTTGGACTATGATCATAGATTTTCCTCCAACTTTTGTTTTTGCCAAAAGCCTAGTTGGTGGTATAGTGGGTAATGAAGAGATTTAACTCATTCTTATTCTCACTTTTTTCACATCAACCTACTTGTCTGCTAGCTCATAAAATTCACATTCATATTTCTCAAATTCTCAATTCATGGTACCACAATTTTTGATATCGAGCTAGTGAACCGCCTTTTTCTTTCCATACATGTCAAAACATGTATTTAAGAATTTTTAACTCAAACACCATTGTACCTTGTTGTACAATAGGAATGTCCATCACATACTCCTTTTCTCAAGTGCCTTATTAATTTTTTTTTCATCATACACTATTATACCATAATTGTATAATAGGAATGCATATCACATTTATTTTGTTAAGCACCATTATACCTTATTGTATAATAGGAGTGCATATCACATTTACTTTCTTAAGCACCATTACACCTTATTGTATAATAGGAATGCTATGCAAAATCTCAATTAGGCATCATTGGTCTCATCACCAATAATAATATATAGGGATATCACAATCCCCCACATTGGGAGCATCTCAAATATGTGATTATCACATTTCTCAAATAATTGAGTTCATGAAGAAACTCATTTTGCTCACAAGATTTTTATAAGAGCATATTTGCTCATCTCACTTTTTATTGCCACAAAAGGGTCCTTGGTCACGCAAGCTTAAAGAAAAAATTAGTTTACATTTCCAAAATATATCAACCCAAATATCAAGTCCATTTTTTTTCAAAATTGTTGCATGGACGAAATTGGGTAGCTTTCTTCTTTAGTCTTTTCACTTGGTCAAAATTTTCATAGACCATTTTCCATGGTTCCTAAATGAGTAAGACAACACAACATTCACTAAAGATTTGTCAAAGAGCAAAAATAATCAACTAACAAAATATATGATTATAAAAAATATCTTACACATAATGGCATAACCAATGCACTTAATATTTTACTAGCCGTTGGAGTTAAATCACATTCATGTTGAAATTTATTAGCTGCAAATACAACTCCTTAAATATTGGATCATGGCATAATAGTTTCACATGCTAGGTAATTTTTTTTTACTCTTTTTTTCCTTTTACTATTGAAAATATCTCACAAATTAAGAGTACGACAGTAGCAAAAGGAGCACATATCTGCACGCATTAAATTCATAACAATTTCCATTTATGATATTTCAAGCCATTGGAAATTAAACAAACCAATAATATCATTAAACTCCAACATGTCATGATAAAAATATGTATATTCATTTGCAAGAGCAAAATATGAAAGTAATCGGGTTAACACTATATATATATATATTTTTCTAGCACTCATACCTTCAGTTGACAAATTAATAGGATTTTTCTCATTGAGGACATATGTCAAATTTAACAAAATAAGATAATATAAAACTTTTTCTTTCCATCTTTTGAAATGCTCACCGTTAAAACGAAAAGGCATGTTAAGATCATTAAAGAGCTTAACAGGTTTTTCACGAGGTAAACTCATTTTTTTAAAAAAAAAAAATTTCTTTCGAAGCATCCTAAAATTGTTGTTCCTCATAAAAATAAATAGAAAAGAAAATAGATAGAAGAATAGCAAAAAACAATTGATTAAAGATGAAGATGAAAAGTAGAAAGATGTCACCGAAAGTATGAGGAGCTTGAGTTGAGGCGTGGTCAACTTCCTAAAGTGGCTGCAGCTTTTGAGAAACTCAGCTTCTCACTTTTCCTTTGCAAAGGCCGGAAGCTCCCATTTCTTACTTCCGCAGTAGTTTTCGGCTTTTGAATTAATGAAATTGACATGATATCCCCATTTTATCCTCGGACTTCTTTTTATTTACAAAAAAACCACTATATAATGTTTCAAAACACAACATTTCTGCCCCATTCTCCACTATTTCTTCCTCATCCAATTCAATCAAAGAAACAAACAAAAATTCTTCCTCAAACAGAAAATTCTTCCTCATCTAGTCAGAGAAACAAACAGAAAATCTTTACCGAAAATCTCTCATTTACGAACCCAGGAGCTGAATTCGCGGTGAACCCCACGCCTGGGTTCCGAGACGAACCCAAGAGCTGGGTTCGCCAGGAACCCAGCGCCTGGGTTCACGACGAACCCTGCGCCTGGGTTCACGACGAACCCTGCGCCTGGGTTCGCGCAAACCCAAATGTTAAAAAAAAAAAAAAGATAAAAGATAAAAACAGCCAAATAAGGGTTGGATAATGATATGTTTTATATATCTTTAAAATATAA